TATATTTAATATTTTTAAAAATTCAAAAATTTCCAAAGTGGCTCTACCATCTTACATTTCCACCAACAATGCATGAGGAATCCAGTTTGTTTCCTACAAAGTTTACCACTTTTAGTTGGCAAAGCTGTGGATTTTTGCTGTCTGTCAAATTATTACCCATGTTTTATAGGTAAATAAACTGAGGCTTAAGGAGACCAAGAATTTGACCCATGTCACATAGCTAATAAGTATCAGAACGGGGATTCTAACTTTGGTTTTTGTTACGAGGTTCATACTCATTCCATTGACATGAATTGAGATGTATACTTGAATACTCAAGAGATCCCCACCCCCTCTGCAAAAAGAGATTATTCATTGTTTTTGCTCTCAAAGGCAAAGCTCTATTTTATTTTAGGAAGGGGTTTTCTTTAGCTCTTAAAAATTTATTTATTTTAGAGAGAACTTGGATCCTTACCTAAGATCATACACACAAATTAACTCAAAATGGATCAAAGACCTAAATATAAGATCTAGAGAACTATATGGATTTCCCTGGTGGTCCAGTGGTTAAGACTCTGCACTTCTAATGCAGGGGGCACGGGTTTGATCCCTGGTTGGGGAAATTCCTCATGCCTCGTGACCAAAAAAAACCCCACAAACCCAAAAAACCTATAAAACTCTTAGAAGAAAACACAGGATAAAAGCTTCATACCATTATATTTGGCAATGATTTCTTAAATGTGATACCGAAGGCACAGGCAACAAAAGAAAACATAGACAGGGACTCCCCTGGTGGCGCGGTGGTTAAGAATCCACCTGCCAATGCAGGGGACACGGGTTCGAGCCCTGGTCCGGGAAGATCCCACATGCCACAGAGCAACTAAGTCCGTGTGCCACAACTACTGAGCCTGCGCTCTAGAGCCCACGAGCCACAACTACTGAGCCTGCGTGCCACAACTACTGAAGCCCGTGTGCCTAGAGCCTGTGCTCTGCAACAAGAGAAGCCACCGCAGTGAGAAGCCCGTGCACCAAAACGAAGAGTAGCCCCCGCTCGCCACAACTAGAGAAATCCCGTACGCAGCAATGAAGACCCAACGCAGCCAAAAATAAATAAATTAATTAAAAAAAAAAAGAAAACATAGACAAATTGGAGCTCATGAAAATTAAAAACTTTGTGCATCAAAGGATACAATCGACAGAGTAAAAAGACAACCTACAGAATGGTAGAAAATATTTGCAAATCACATGTCTCATAAGAGGTTAATATCCAGAATATATAGAGGACTACTAAAACCCAAAAACAACAACAAAAACCCAATTCAAAGTTGGGCAAAGGACTTGAATCGATATTTCTCCAAGGAAGATATACAGATGGCCAATAAGCAAATGAAAAGATGCTCAGTATCACTAATCATCAAGGAAATGCAAATCAAAACCACAAGATATCACTTCACACTCATTAGGATGGTTATTATTTTTTTAAATGGAAAATAAGTATTGGTGAGGCTGTGGAGAAATTGGAACACTGTGCACTCTTGGTGGGAATGCAGAGTGGTACAGCTGCCATGGAAAACAGTATGGCAGTCCCTCAAAAATTGAAAAACAGAATGATCCAGCAATTGATCCAGCAATTCCACTTCTGGGTATATACCCAAAATAATGGAAAGCAGGGCCTTGGAGAGAGATTTGTACACCGATGTTCATAGCAGCATTATTCACAATAGCCAAAAGGTAGACGCAACCTAAGTATATCCATTGATGGAAGAATGGATAAGCGAAATGTGGCATACATATACATATATATATATATAATGGAATATTTTTCATCCTTTTAAAAGAGGGAAATTCTGACACATGCTATAGGATGAACCTTGAGGACATTATGCTAAGTGAAATAAGCCAGTCACAAAAAGATAAATTCTATATGATTCCACTTATATGAGGTACCTAGAACAGTAAAATTGAGAGACAGAATGTATAATGGTGGTTGCCAGGGCTTCCTGGGAGAGGGAAATGGGGAGTTATTGTTTCATGGGTATGGAATTTCGGTTTTGCAAGATGAAACAAGTTCTCAGGATGGATGATTGCACGACATTATAAATGAACTTGATGTCACTGAACACAAAAATAGTTAAGACGGTAAATTTTATGTTGTGGCTTTTATTACAATTTTTAAAAATTAAAACATTAATTCATTCACTCATTAAGTTTGCAATATTCCAGGCACTCTACTAAGGGCGAGGGATACAAGTGTAAACAATACCTTGTTCATGCCTGCAAGGAACTTATAGGCTAGTGTGACCATCAGACAGGTGGGCACAGTGTGACCAGGGTTGTGGGAGCCTGTCGGAGGGGCATCTTAGTCCCCTATGTATGTCAGACCCAGCATATGTTTAACAAATAACAGAAGTCGGCAAAGCAATAAATGCTACAAGATCTGTGCCTTTGATTCATTACCAGAAAACTCTCTCCTAGGCAGAGCTGGAGAAGGTGAGTCTGCTACTACCCAAGTGGTTTGGTTCAGAGGCCAAAAAATGATTTGCTGGGAATATTACTGAGGGTATTTCTAAGTTACTTAGAACATGTGAGCATTGTCCTTTTTTCTCACTACTCCTTCCAGATGGAATCTTCTATTGATTTTATTACTATTCTATTCACTCAACTCCCACTTCCAATACTCTTGTCTGGGTTGTGACAACAGCTTCATCTTCCTGTGACCAGAGTCCACCCCACTAATTCATTCTCTGCACTGCAGTCAGTCATCCCTACTTGAAACACTTCAGCGGCTCCACATTACCCTCAGAATACCCCAGACTCCTTAGGGTGGTGTCTTAGCTCAGGCTGCCATAACAATATATCACAGACCTGGTGGCTTTCACAACAGGAGTTTATTTCTCATTAAGGTCTGGAAGCTGGGAAGTAAGATCACGGTGCCCATCCATTAGGTTCCCTGGTGGGGGCCCTCTTCCTGACTTGCAGACAGGCTTCTCACTGTGTCCTCACATGGTGGAGAGAGAGCACTTTGGTCTTTCTTCCTCTTCTTATAAGGACCCTACTCCCATCATGGGGGTGCTACCCTCATGACCTCATCTAAACCTAATTACCTCTCAAAGGCCCAAACTCCAAATACCATCACATTGGGTGTTGGGGCTTCAACATATGAATTTTGGGGGCAGAAATATTCAGTGCATAATATGTGCCTTCTCCAGCCTTTCAGGGCCCCTGTTTTCCTCTTTATCCCCATCTCTCTCACTGCTTCCTTTTAGTCTGCAACCTAGCCATGCTGATAGCTGGCAATACTTGGATGCCCCTTGTTCTTGCTTCTTTCTAGGCCTTTGTACAAGCCATTCCCTCTACCTAGAATGACTTTCCCCTCTTTTGCTAGGATAACTCCTATCTGTCCTTTAGGTGTCCTCTGCAAAGGAGCTTCCTGGGCCCCAAACCAGGTCAGGTGTCCTTCATCTGGGTTTCTGCTCTTGAGTGCCTTGTGCATTTCCCTACGGTGCCTCTCATCACACTGCATCGTTGTCTCTTCTGCTCCACCAACCACCACCCCAGTGAACTCCCTGAAGGCAGAATGGGCCTCGTTCACCTCAGCACCTAGTTCAACACGTGGCTAACGATGTATGCACAATGAATACTTTGGTTTGTATAGCGCTCTGTACTTTTCAGAGTGTCCCGACACAAAATAACTCATCTATAGAGGTATAATTATATTTCCTTACTTAACATTCATTCCTCCTGAATAAAATATTCCTTTAAACATATTACTTTTACTAACAAGATTTCTGTGAAGTCAATAATCCACTATGTCACTAATGTGACTGAGTCAGGGGTCAAACTATCTCATTTTTCCTGATATACTAGAAGAGTTTGTGAAAAAGCAGATTTCTTTCTATAACCCAGCAGGACCCTATGGGGCCTTCCTGGGACAGACCCCTCTCCTATAGTCTCTGCTTTAGCTCCTCTGTGAATTACCTAGATAATCATATCTGATGCTCATTTCCTGAGTAGTTTTACAGATGTTAAAACTCCCACCAAATGGAAGAAATTAACTACTTGATGATGATGAGCCCATAGCCCCCAGACCTACTGGCGCCTAAGGATTGATAATGTTACCCCTAGGACATCGTCCTGTTACCTCACCATCAACCAATCAGAGAATTGTGCACAAGCTGTTCACAGACCCTGGGATGCCCCTCCCTCACTTTGCCTTTAAAAATGCTTTGCTGGGACTTCCCTGGTGGCCTAGTGAGTAAGACTCTGTGCTTCCACCACAGGAGGCACTGGTTCAATCCCTGGTGTGTGTGTGGGACTTCCCTAGTGGTCCCTGGTGGTTAAGAATCCACCTTCTAACGCAGGGGATGCAGGTTCGATCCTTGGTTGGGGAACTAAGATCCCACATGCCACAGGGAAACTAAGCCCACGTGCTGCAGCTAGAGAGCCCATGCACTGCAACTACCGAGCCTGTGTGCCACAACTAAAGACAAGCCCGTGCACCACAACTAGAGAGAAGCTTGTGCGCTGCGACAAAATATCCAGTGTGTCACAACTAAGACTCGACCCAGCCAAAAACAAACAAACAAAACAAACCATTAGGGAGTTCGCATGTTTTGAGTACTAGCTTTCCTGAACTCCTTGCTTGGTGCCCTGCAATAAGTGCTGTACTCTCCTTCACCACAACCCAGTGTCAGTAGGTCAGCTTTACTGTGTGTGGGCGAGAGGATTCAAGTTTGGTTCCATCCACCTCACTACAAATAACTCAATTTTGTTTCTTTTTATGGCTGAGTAATATTCCATTGTGTATATGTGCCACATCTTCTTTATCCATTCATCTGTCGATGGACACTTAGGTTGCTTCCATGTCCTGGCTATTGTAAATAGAGCTGCAGTGAACATTGTGGTACATGACTTTTTTTTTGCAGTACGCAGGCCTCTCACTGTTGTGGCCTCTCCTGTTGCGGAGCACAGGCTCCGGATGCGCAGGCTTAGCGGCCATGGCTCACAGGCCTAGCCGCTCCGCGGCATGTGGGATCTTCCCGGACTGGGGCACGAACCTGCGTCCCCTGCATCGGCAGGCGGACTCCCAACCACTGCGCCACCAGGGAAGCCAGGTTTGGTAACATTTTGAATGACTTGACGGAGGTAGGTGTCTGTGAGGGTGCAGTGGGGGAATGGGTATTGGCCTCAGCTGGTGATCTGACCTCAGGAGTTTGCATCCCTGGCTTCCTGGTGGCAGAAATTGGGAGGCAGGACTAGGAAGGGAATGCCTGTGGCTTGGAGGAAGCTCTTAGTTCTTAGAATCACAGAACTTTAGTCTTAGGTCATTTGGTTCAACCTCTGCCTTTAAGAAATGGGGAAAGAGATCTAGTATTTTGCCCAGAAAAACCTCAGAAGACCTCCCACCAATCTTGTTTTCCCTCTCCCAAAAGCCTGAAGTTGGAGGTCACTAGGCTTCTGATCTCAATCAAAATATTTCTCAGAAGCATTATCCCCTCTCTTTCAGCAGCATCATCTGAATAGTGTGCTCTGGATAGATGATGGGTTAATATTGCTACATAGAAACTCATGGAAGGCATAGTCCTTGGCCTCTAGGAACTTACAAATCAAGACCAAGTGTTTAAAAATGATTTGCACATGCTGTCAAGTCAAAAGAAAGAGAAAGTTTTAAATATAGCTTTTATTTGAAAGCTGAACCAGACATTAAATCAAAATAATTTTTATTTTTTTGCTTTTGCTTGGACTTTCCACTTCGTATATGTAGATGCTCAAAAATTATGATTTAGATTTAGGAAAGTGCTGATTTCGGAAAGTGGATGTTCGTTTTTCCCCAGGGTGCAGAGGAGTCAGAGTAGGGAAGGAAGGATGACATCACTGAACACCTCCTGCAAAGTGAGGATTGTCATTCCCACTTCTCTGTAGGACTCTGAGGTGCAAGAATTTCCCATGGTTAGGTTGCTAATAGTTGTGTGTGTGTGTATGTGTGTGTGTCTGTGCTTTGAACCCAGTTCTGTCATCAGAGCCACACAGGCTGCTAAGAAGCAGAAAGTCTGGCATTCTGGGTCCCAATTATCAATGTGAAATATGGCCAGTTAAGTTCAGAAGGAGGTTATCTGGTTCAAGCCTGCCTTTTACGTATGGAGGTGCCGAACCCCTAAACGACAGAGCAGCCAGCCTGCAGAAGGGCAGAAGGCAGTGTATGTGTGTGGGCCAGGTGTGGCCCAGCGCTGACACACAGGAAGCCTGAAGCGAGAAAGGGTGATTCCATCCAAGAAAGAGAAGGCAGAAAAGTGGCTATTCTCATTCCCACACTCAAGGTGTGAATTCCTTTATTGAGTCATAGTAATTTTCCAAAAATTCTGATTCCTGGTACTTTAGGCTCTCAGCTCAGTATTTATCTCTTTGTCCCCAAACTCCACACCCTTCAAGGTGCCTCACAGTCCAGCACGGAGTGGGGGGCTCCCACAGCTGCACATCATTCTTTGTCACCCCTGGCCCCCAAACCCCTGGTTCCTTTGGTCTCACCTCTAGACAACTGTGTCTTTCAAAAAGTTCTTCCCTGGCACTTCCTCACTGACCTACAAAATCTTTCCCAAGGCATGGTCCTTCTATTTACATTTGTACAGAGCTTTTGCTTTTATAATGTGCTTTCTTGCCCACCTTCTCACTTGATCCTCATAAACACCCCAAGTGAGGTAGGAGGAAAGGGATTATTACTCCCATTTTACAGGAAAGAGACTGAGGCTGCCCTCTTGATTCTCCAGTGTCATCAGCAAACATTTATGGGTCTAAGCCTCATACTGGCTCAGCAGTGCTCCTTTGACACAGGTTCTAGGTTTTCTTTTCTTCTCACGTTTCCTGGAATCCCAGCGGGTTTTACACAGCAGGCACGCTACAAATATAGCTGATGATGCATGGCTAACCGAAGGCTGCAGTCAAAAGCTTTGTGTTGCTTTGGCGGTGCCCCTGTAGACTCCTTAGCTGATTTCCAAGTGAATCGCGTGCCACTCCTGTCCCTTTCCTGTTTATAATTCATCGTCTAATCAGATTTTTCAGGGGACGTAAGTTTGCAAACTTCCGTTTTATCCAAGTGGATGTTTTGTTTTTCCTTGCCTAAATGTTAGGCATCCAACCTGATGGGTTTCACAAATTAATGTAATTTATTTTCCATGTTGTCAGTGCAAAACAAAGGTGTTCTTAAGACAAAGCACTGAAGACCACAGTCCTTCCTCCTCTTCTGTTTCTTGAGTCAGCAGCAAGTAAACAGTTCTGTAAACATGTGTGGGTCTACGTCCTTGTGTGTGTGGACCCGCTGCTTTATTCCATCCTTAACTGGTTTTGTCCGAGTTAAGTACCAAGTGGCCTTGTCTTAGTCAAAATGGAGATTCCCGTAGCACCTGGACTTTCATCAAGGCCCGTTTCAGTTGCTCGTAGGTGACGAACATCACCACATTCCAGGCTCCCAAACGCAAAAATGAGGGTGTAAATCTGATGAGAGAAACAACCACATGGTCAGGTGGGTGGACTGGAGTCCCACATGGATCTATGCGCTCTCCCCACTCGGTGCTGGTGCCAAAGGACTAGCCTTCTGTTAGTCACGAGCATTTTCTGAGATTGTTCAGTCATTTTCTTCTCTACTGAAGGAATTTAGGCAGAAGCTGGAGTTGGGAAAGGAAAGAAAACTAACATTTTGAGCCGTGTTACTGTGTCAGGCAGTTAATTCTCACAGTTCTATCAGGTAGCTATGATTGTTGCCAGTTCTTTCTCTTCAGAAACCGAGGTTAAGTAGCTCAGTTAAAACCACCTGACTCCATTCTGCTACTGGGTATTTCTGGGCTCATTTACAACCTGAGTGGCCACCCCTGCGGAGACCTCGGCCTCCAGCTGGAGGGGCAAAAACAACGTGACACCAAATTTAGCTGCTCTCCGGAAAGCCTGCCTGTCCTGCGGTAGGTAGCGCGGCTGGGCGAGAGCCCCCCTCGGCTGTGCTTCGCAGACTCAGGGAGCGGCCGGCCCCTGCCTCTTCTTCAGCCTCTCTCTCCGCTAATCCCCTCCTGGTCCTCTCAGCTCCTGCCAGACGCTTCCTCCCACACCTTTGCCCACGTTGCTCCTTCTGCTTGGAATATCTCCTTCTCTCCTTGCCGGGCTGTTCGCTCTTGGCTCCGTGGGACTCAGCTTGGGCACCAGAACCTCCCCCCAAGGCCTCTCCTGAACCCTCAGCCTGGGCCCCTCACAGGGCGTACAGCACGGGCACAACGAATGTGAACTCTGGCATTAGACTTGGATTCACATCCTAGCTTGACCAGCTTCTTGAACTTAATCTTTCTCAGCCTCAGCTTACTTATCTGTAACATGAGGACAGCAACACCTACCGCACGGAGCTGTCGAGAGGATTAAATGAGTTAAGGTACAGCGCATAGCACAGGGCCCAGCACCCGCAAGATCCTCAGTGAATGTTTGCCAAGTGAAAGTACAAACCGAGACAAGTGGCTACAGCTGAAGAGTGAAATGATGGCGGCACTTACAGGAAAAGAACTGTCAGCTGGAACTCAGTTTTGTGACGTCATCCCAGGGTCGAGAACATGGTTGCTTGTTGGGCCCAATCTAACGCTGGACGCCAGAAAACTATCCTCAGTGGTGGAGGTAAGAGGGCCAAGCAAAGAGCTTAGCGTGGGATGGACGATGTGGGTGGTATCTGACGGTCAGTGTTTGAGCCGTGGCTCTGCCATTCAGACTTTGTGAGCTGGGACAAGTTCCATGACCTTCCTGAGCCTCGGTCTCTTCCCCAGTAAATGTGGAGAACACGGCCCAGTTCAGGGGGGTGAGATAGTATTTGTGAAGTGCTTAGCAAAAGGCCTCATACTTAGGGACTTAGCAGTCACGACGATTGTTAATGACTACACTATAGAGTGCTGCCTTGGTGCTGGGGACTCTGGGATATGGAAGATGTATACGGTTGACCCTTGAACAACACAGGTTTGAACCGTGAGGGTCCACTTATACACAGATCTTTTTGCAATATTAAATACTACAGTACTGTATGATCTGCGGTTGGTTGCATCCGTGGTTGGTTGAATCTGTGGATGTGGAACCAGGGATATGGAGGAACCTCATGTATGGAGGGCCGACTATAAATTGTCCACGTATTTTCAACTGCATGGGGTCCATGCCCCTAACCCTCGCATTGTTCAAGGGTCAACTGTATAAGCCACAGTCCTTGGCTGCAAGGAGCCTGCACTCTAGCATGGGGGATAATTTAAACTTACAAATACTATAATATTGATACAAAGTAGGAAGTGGTAGATCCCATAAAAGTGGTGTGGAGGAAGTATCACTGAAGTTCACAGAGGGGGAAAGTTTACACCTGAGAGTGTTAGGGAGGAGGTGGCATTTGAACTAGTTTTGAAGGACAGCTAAGATGTAGAGCATGTGGATGGCGCAGGAAAGGCATTCCACGCCGAGGGAACAGTAAATGCCAAGGCAGAGAAGCAAGAAAACATGAAGCACATTGGGCACTAGGGCTGCCGACTGTGGTGGTCCACAGTGATGGCGGTGGGTCCGAGAAAAGTCTCAGGATTACCAACCACCTTTCCCTCCTCCTCCCCTGCCCAGGACGTTTGGGGATAGCACTTTGACCTATGCCTAGAAACCTTTTTCTCAGATAAGCCTCCCTGACTCTCCAAATCAGACCTGGTCCACTCTTTCTAAAAATCATTTCCGTAGGTCTTTATACTTGTCCTTTGTGGCATTTACACCTGTGCTGTTCACCAGTGTGTTTCCAGGTGGACCCATGGTAGACACAATCCACATGGCGGGAAGGAAGGGAGCTGGGGAGGGAGGCCTGCTTCTCTAGGAGGGAGTACTGGCAGCAGGAGGGGAGGCTCACCCCTTATAGAAGGCTGTGGGGCCCTCCTGGGTCACCATCTTCAGCATACAGTCGAAGGGGCTGCGGTACTGGCCTGGGGGTGAGTTCATATATCGGGTCTTCACCACGTCCACTGGGGAGGCCACCACTGTGGCACAGAAGCCAGCTCCAAAGGCAGAGACGAAGTGGCAGGGGAAGTCGTCTGTCGCAGGTTAGGGAAGAGCAAATGTTGGGCTGTGAGATGAGGCGTGCCCTTGCTTTCTGTTTCATATGTGTCCACTGTTTGTCCCTCATGAAACTGTGAACTCCCTGAGTGTAAGGATAGTGTTTTCCAAATCTCTCACAGTGCCCAGGGCGGAGCTCTTGGTAAGGACTTGTAAAACAGAACTGGGCTGTCCCAGGGTTGGAAGGTAATCCAGTCCAACCACCTAGTTGGAGGAAACTGTAGTCAGAGAAGGTGACCCTTGCTTAAAGGTGCACGGGGAGAGGTGGCACGGGGCTGGAAGCCAGGTCTCGGGCCTCCTGTCCGGGGTTCTTTCCTACTCATCATAGTGATGTGCTGGGCACTGCGCCTCCCTCTACTCCTTCTAAAGCCCAGTTGCCTGTGGGTGGTGCCCACTCTCTGGCGTCCCGGGTTCCCTCTCTGCTATGGGAGGGCCGTCTGCCTGGAGCCCAGGGCCTCACCGGTGAGCAGGTGGTAGTTTAGCAGCTTCTCCTTGATGATGTCATAGGTCACCATCTCAGCACAGTTGATGATGGCATTCCTCATGATGTTGGGCAGAGTTCCTGTCAGGGAGGGGGTGGGGCTGATGAGTGGGGTAGAGGAGAAGTGGAACCCCTGGCTGCAAGGCCACAGGCCCCAGTGGGGGGGACATGGTGCCCCATTCCAGGGGTCTCAGAGGAGCCCACCTCAGGTGGGCAGATTCCATACTTTCCTTTCTGATGTTTAAAAACTCTCAGGTTATCCATGTCCATCTTAGAGACAAAAAACAGAGAGGCCCTCTTGTATTTGGGCCACAGTTCAGAGGATAATCTGCAATATCTATCAGAATTAAGATATGCCTCCCTGAGACCTGGCTAGAGGCAGAAAAGGAAGCCTTTCTTTGGAAGAGGGAGGCTAGGCTCTTGGAACAGTGACAGGATGTAGCCCTGGCAGGGCCCTTGGAGAGCGTCAAGACCCCCCCTCCGCCCCGGTTTCACAGATGAGGGCTGGGCTCCAGGAAGGCACACAGCAAGTGAGGCTGTGACCCAGGTGTCCTGCCTTTAACCTTCACTGGGTCACTGTTTCCTCTGCAAGATTCACGTGAGCCCCAGCCACATCTGGGAGAGACAACAGCATTTGTCAAGGTGGCCACCACTCAGACAAGTAGGGAACCCTAAAGCCTTGTTCCCAAGGAAGCCCCCTCCTCATGGCTGCTTCCCCCAGTGGCCTCTGTTTCTTCTCCATGCCCTGCAGTCATCCTCGTGGGCCTTTGCTGGGGAGGCCCTTCCCTCACTCTCTGCTGAGCCGGCTCAGCCTTTGAGGCCTAGATTGTGCGTCACCTCCCCCCGCCCTAACCCCCAGCCCGCATGGCCTCTCCTGCCTCCGGCCCTGCCCCTGCGCGTGAACCCAGCACATCCTGCCCTGTGGAATAGCTGCTCCTTGACATGTCCCCTCTCCTCTGTGTGACTGTGAGAGCCACGAGGATGTCTTCTATTCATTTCTCTCTCCCTTACAGTCCTGCACGTGGTGAAGAGTTGGCAAACTGAACTGAATTTGGGGCAGGGTGGTGGGTCAGCTGGGATGTTGCAATGGTTGGGATGTTCCTTTAGAGTCGCTGAAATACACGTGCTGGGCTCCCCCCTTGCCCAGTTCCCTGCTCCAGCCCTAGGGTAGGGAAATCACTGCCCAAGACCCCCTGAACCTGGAGTCCAGACCTACCTTTCCACAGGCCCCGAACCCCTTCCTCCCTGGCGATGGTCCTGTAGGCATCCATTGTCCCGCTGTACTTCTTATTGCTCCCGGGCCCAGTGTGCACGCTGGCCTGAAATCGGATCTTCACCACATCTGTGGGCTGGGCACAGGTCACTGCCATGGCCCCGGTGGTGCAGCCTGCCAAAATCCGGGTAGTGATGCTGCAGTCTGGAGAGGAGGAGAGTGAGTGGGCCAGTGTTCCGCCACCCAGCACCTCTCTGGGCCTGCTGCTGATCTCTGGGGGCTTCCCCTGCTCGATGCCTTCCTCTCTTGGGCCAAGGCTCCAGAGCCTCCTTAACGGAGGCTCAGAGTCTTCTCATGAGCATGTTACCAACTTCTCACGCCCCAGCTCTGCCTCTGAGTCTGCACTGCCCTGGTCTTCTGACCCACAGCCTAGATTCTGCTTCCGCCCACCCCCTCAGCACTCACGGTCCGATCCCTTGGGGGTGTAGAACTGCTTGACGGAGTCATAGAGGCCGATGCGGACGGAGGCGAAGCTCATCTGGCGCTGCAGGCCGGCGACCAGCCCTTTGTAGGGGCTGCGGGGGCCCTCGGTGCGCACCATGGTCAGGATGGTGCCCAGCACCCCGCGGTACTGCGCGCTCCGGGCCGCCTGGTTCTCCCCCTGGATCTGAGGGACACCCCGCAGCGGTGTGAGGGGCTGGGTGGGGGGTGGATGGGGCTGTGTGCAGGGGGGCCTGCTTGGGGCTGGACCTTGGAAAAGCATGATCACAGCATCACATCCCGGTAAAAATGACAGTTTTGTGTAGCAGTTTCCAGCCCACAGACTGTTGTACACAGTGTGGTGTTGGATCCTCAGGGAGAACAGCGTGGATTGTTTTTCTTGGTACAAATTGTCAGTGGCTTGCCCAAGCTCACCCAGTAATTCCTTACTTCTACTTCTCACTTTTTGGCTTACAAAGTAGGGCAAGGCCATGAAGGGCCCTGGCATGTCCTGCCAAGGAATTAAGATCTTTTGGTCTTGGGTGATGGTGATGGGGAGGTGGTGAGGCAGGGTTGTGGGCAGTGGGGTGAGTGGCCTGCTCAGGGTCCGCTGTGAGGAAGAGCGAGCGGGCAGACACTGCAGGTGCCCTGGTGGAGAACTCAGCCCCTCCGCTGATGGGAGTAATGACCCTCGGCCAAAGGGCGCCTACCTGCAGGCGGACCTTGGCCGTGTCCAGTGGAAAGGTGAGGAGGTCAGCAAAGCAGGCTGCTGTGCCCGCTCCCAGGAACTTCACAGCCGTTGTGGGAGGCACCTCTGAAGGCTTCAGTCCAACCATGGTCCCAGGGGCTCTGCCCGGTCCCTCCAGGGCCCAGCGGAGGTCCAAGGAGAGAGGCTGCTGCACAGCCCTGGGCTTCAGTGCATGGAGGAGGCTGCAGGAGACAGGCCAGAGGAGGGGATAGAACCCATGCCCTCTGGGTCCATCCCCAGGCCCCTCTCAGCATCAGGAGGGTGTTTATAAGGGAAAAGCCTGTGCATGGCTGTGCTTAGCTGTGTGGATTTGACTTATAAGAACAGGTCACTTTCCTCCCTTATGTCTTGCCATCTTCACCCTGACCCCTCTCCCCTCCCAGTTGGAGGTGGGTCTTCACTGTATAAAGGCTCAGGCAGGGACAGGCAACCCCCCAACCCCGTTCTCCTTCCCCAGCCTCAGGCTGCTTCCTGCGAAAGGCCTGCTCCCTGAGGTGTATGGAGAGAGAGCCTGCCAAGTCTCATCGCTTTAGGCCCTGCCGTCCCAAATCAACAAAATAAATGTGCCTCATGGCTCAGTTAAACTGCTAGCCATCTTGGATGAGGGGTTATAGTTGTTTCCTCCAAGCCTGCCTGAATGTACTCTTCTTTACTTAAAACAAACACAGTCCTTTTCAGCCTGTGATTGCTTCTCTGTCACCAAAGATATTTAGCCTGTGACTAGAGATGTTTCCTCCCAACACTGTAGGACTCCCGGGCTGGTGTTCTGCTGTGGAGGGACGGGGGTGGGGGGGTGGTGACTGACCCTGGGCCCCTCTGCTGCTCGGCCTCCCCAGGGCTCTGAGGGGGACTGTGCCCCCTCCCTGCCCCCAGGGGTGCACTTGTGCCTGCACCCATCTTACTGCTGGTGGACCAAGGGCATGTGTACATGAGGGTCCTGGTTTAGCCTTGGTTACCTTGGGAAGCGGGCACAGGCCTTTGGTGCTGATGCCACCTCTTGGCAGTTCATGCCCATGGGCACCCCAACTCACACACTCGGCGCCCCCCAGTGTGCTGGGATCCTGGATCCTTCAGCATTGTCACCCCTGGAGCCAGGGCCAGTCCCATAGAGTTAGCTGTTAAGTGGGCTGACTGTGTGCCCCCTTCTCTATGGTAATAGAAGAACTCTGGTCCTGTGGTGAGGAAACCTGAGTTCCTGCCCTGTCTTCATGGCTTACTAATGGGTGAGGGACATTAGATACATTATTTAACCTCTCTTGGGTAAATGGGAATGATATATTACCTATTCACCAGTGGTGAAATGGATTCCAAAAGATAGGGGTGACCACTTGAGGCTTCTTTCAGGACTGTGGTCTACAACTCTGGTTCTCCCTGTCCTGTCTCTTCAACCCACATGGCTCCCTGGACTCTTATGCTTGCTGTCGCCTTTCCCTAGAAAAGTCTGTTCTTAAGAAGGAGCTGATGTTTCTAATTCATGCTAAGGTGTAAGTGACTATCTTAATGATCAGCTATTTCTTGAACACTATGGCAGGTACTAGGGGAGGAAAGATATGGAATGAATCATGTTTGGCCCTTGCCCCCAAGGAGCTTACATTCAGGAACACAGATAGGTGTAGAATTATCCAAAGGGAATGAAGGAGGTGAGATGGAGGATGGGTTGAGATGGGAGCTCACCAGCCACTGGATCCCAGTCTAGAAGCCTGGGTCATAGTGTGGAGGGACGACTTTTGAATCCTGCCCCGGGGAAGGGGGTGCTTTTATTTTGATCTCTCCCGGCATGAAGTTGCACTTAACATTTTACTTTTATTTTTAAAACTTTAAAAATTGAGATATAGCTTACATATAAGGATTGTATGCATTTTGAAATTACTGAGTCATAAAGGGAATTGTGCACCAATTCTGGAATGTTAGGCCTGGACAGCAAATGCAGGAGGAGATTTTCTGGATGGGGACCTAACCTAGTGTCCAAGCATAATTCAGATCAAGTCACTCCCCTGTTTTAAAGCTCTCCAACCGCCCCCGCCCCGCCTAGTTATTCAGAACAAAGTCCAAAGTCCTTGTCGTGGCCTATGGACCTCCCTAAGACCCAGCTCATGCTAAGTTCTGTGCTTGGCGCTCCAGGAAATCTGGAGATGAGTAAAAACAGTCTGTGTGACCTGCCCGTGGGGAACTCTCAAGGAGTCTTGTGGGGGCATTAGACACACCCACACGTAACTGCAGTGCAAGATGGGCTGGATCAATGTTGGAAGGAAGGAACCATCAAGAAGGGACCCCAAGGAGGGAGAAACCCTCTTGTTTGTGAGGTAGAATTAGGACAGTTTCATGGTGGGGGGTGGGAGGAGGGCCTTGAAAGGTGGGCAAAATTTCAGCAGCTGGAGAAGTGGGAGGGGGGTTCCAGGTGCAGGGAAGGGCGTGCGCTTGTGCGAGAGTCCAGGGCACCGCTTAGGGTCGGAGGAGGGAATGGCTATGGGGCGTGAGGCTCTTGCGGTGGAGCTTTACACACAGTTTCACTGAATTCTCACAACTTTCCTGAGGGGTAGGCTCCCCCTTCCTCTCCCTGCGTGTGAGCAAATGGAGGCTCAGAGATGTTGGCTTGCTCAGGGTTACCAGCCACCAGTGTCAGAGCCTACTAGGCTTGAAACAGCCCTGGAAAGAGGGCAGGACAGCATTTAAACCCATTTTACAGGTGAGAAAAGAGAGGCTTAAGATGGAAAGAGACTTCCTCAAATTCACAGAGCTCCAACCAGGTTCTTGTGGTGGCAATAAGGCCCCCTTCACCGTTCATTCCACTCAGGGGCCCCAGTGGATGTGGTAGTGTGGATATCCACCATCTTGCTTTTTTGTTGAGGGCATTCAAAGCCCTTTAAATTGCATGCAAAACCCCTCTCTGGGGAATTAAGTGCTAAGCACATAGAACAAGAGCTTGGCGAGGAGGGCTGGGTGGGTGGGCATCGGTGTCCAGTTTGGCAGAGGAAGAAAATGTGCCCAGAGAGGCTGAGACCAGCACACGGCACGCAGTGCTCCTCCCACAGCCTGTCTGCCTGCCTTTCTGTGTTGCCTCCCTGAGAAGGTCCAAGGAGGATCTGGCCCCTTGGGAGGCTGGCGTGGAGCTGAGCCTGGCTGAGGGGACAGCACTGCAGGCGTTGGGGGGAACACTGTCCTCCTTCCCCTTTGCCCTGCAGAAGCCCAGCAGCTGCCAGGCAGGCTCAGTCCCTGGCAGGGAGGCTCTGGCTCCTCTGTCTGGGGTTGGAATGAAAGTGCCTGGTTGTGTGTGGGAACAGCTGCCAGTGCCTGCATCCTGTCAGCCTCTCTTCCCTCAAGCCCTGGCCTTTCCCCTCCTCTGACAGGAGCTGTGCTGCTGGGAACCTCGGCTTCAGGAATGTGAGGGCCCGACTCTCAGGGCAGGGAGGCCCTTGGGAGGTGTGTTCTCTAGTGTCTCTTGCTGGTTGTACAAGTGTCCCTTTTTCAAAAGCTTGGTGGCCACCCAGGCTCTAATAGAAGAATCCTGCAAGTTAGGTATTTTAATTCCACTTTCAGAGTTAGGAACTGAGGAGCAGAGGTGGGATCCCGCCCAGGGCTGTGTGACTCAGTGCATTCCCTGCCATTGGCCCCTGGCAGTGGAGTGTTTGCGGTGGGCCAGGCCCTGCAGGGAGCACTTGGTGGGCTTTGCCTCATGGGCTGGGTCCGTCTCCCAGGGGCCGCCTGTGTCCTCTGGCCAGAGGGGCTGAACCATCAGGCACGGCTTGCCTTCTGAACCTCCTTTGTCCTCAACTGCCTCTGTCCCACACCTTCTTTAGGATTAGCTCTGGTTTTTTTTTTTTGGCCACGCTACGCGGCATGCAGGATCTTAGTTGCCCAACCAGGGATCGAACCTGTGCCGCCTGCAGTGGAAGCGTGGAGTCTTAACCACTGGACTGCCAGAGAAGTCCCTAGAATTAACTCATTAACTGCAATGGTTTCCTGCCTAGATGGGGGGGGGGATGTCCCAAAGCAGGGACTGGGGCTACTTATCTTGGTTCTCTGTGCAGCCTGGTACAGGGACGGCCCAGGGCCAGAGGGGTCCAGGGAGGACCAGTTGACCAAGGGACCCCACTTGCTGAGGTGGGGAAATGGGCAACAAGGTCTGAGATGTCCACAGTGTTCTTTGGTGGAGGGCCTCAAATGCCACAGCTGTACTTAGTGAGAATGGGGACTGGTTGGTGTTTTCAAGGTGAGAAATGACACCATCAGACCTGTGTTTGGATCAGGCTGGTGCAGGTGTCAAGGATGGACTGGAGGCTCAGAGACAAGTGAGGCTGAAGGGATGGTGCAGCAAGAGGTGTTGGAGCCTGAACTTGGTCAAGAGCAGCGGCCAAGGGTGAAGCTGGAGCCTATTCCAGAGGCTGTCCTGAGCCCCCCACGGGAGGGTGGAGTGGACTCAGGTGCGGAGGGCTCTAGACTTTCACTGGTCAAGTGGGGGCAGGGCAGGGGGAGGCCACAATGGTGGGCACAGGCAGGGGCCCTGAGGCCGGTGCTCCTTAACCTCCTTCCCCCTTTACTCCAGCCTCCTGAATTGGTACCCAGGGAGCCCTAGCAGCCAGCAGAACTTTCCCACTGGCAAAGATGAAGCGTAGAGCAGACCCTCCTTCCTGTGCTCTGCTGGGGCACGTGAGGGATGGGACATTTCAGCCTGCACGCCCAGAGTCATGGTGACCCATTAACATCTGCCGAGTGCTTCCTGCACCAGGCACCGTGCTGAGGGCTTTACAGGCATTGACTAGTTCAGCCCCTTTATACGGCATACAAGGTAGCTGCTATGATTGTCTTCATAAACAAGGGCCCTGGGGCTTCCAGGGCTTCAGCTAATCGTAAGGCTAATGGGATGGAGCTGGAATTAGAGCCCAGGTCTGTCTAGCACCTGTTCCTGTTCCACCACCCAGAGTCTCAGACTTCAGGGAGAGCTCAGGATCCCTGAGCTGCTTGTTTACAGAGTGGATTCTTGGCCCTCAGCCCCGGAGATTCAGGTCTGAGCTGGGGTCTGGGAATCTGCATTAGAAACAAGTTCTCTGTGGTGGCTCTGAAGCAGGGATCAGAAGCCCCTTTTCTGAGATACGCTGCCTGACTCCACCCTCCTGGCAAAGCCTCTACTGCATCCCCACTGAGGAAGCTGTCTGAGCAGAGCTGGGGTGGCCCCCCTACTCAGGAGAGGGGGCCTCATGGGGAAAGGGCTTTATGCTCTGGGGGAATCCTGGGGACTCTGGGTCAGACTAAGGAGAAAGCCACCTCTTTATCTATGGGGATTTGCAAAATCACAGCAGAGGCAGCCAGCAGGGCAAGGGGGAAGTGAGTCCTGGGTGAGTGACACAGGAGCTGGGGTGGAGTCCCAGCCCCACCATAGTGCCCTCATCAGGGCTGCCGTTCCCTCATCTTGACTCAACCTCTACCGGCTCTGTCCTGCTATGGTTAGCGACCCCTGACAGCTCCTGGCTGCTCTCCATAGGCTGCTGCGAGGGGAGAACTTGGAGGAGGAAGGTGGGGTGGAGAGTGGGGTCTTACCTGTGAGTCCAGCCAAAGTGGGGGAAGCATAGGGTCTCTTTAAGGCTCCTCAGGGCTCCATCCCAGGAGGTGGCAGCAGGGACCTGATCACCCCTCTGTCATTTGCTGTCGTCCCTGCAGCCTCTGGCTTGGCACCTGTCTTTATACACTCTGGCTGACCTGAAACCTTATCCTGGAGAAGCTAGTTGACAGCCTGGTCACTTGACCAGAGGCGGCTGGTGAGGGGCAGGGAGGTGAGGGGGAAGCTTGGAGTTCCAGATCTGCTTCAGCTCCCTTGACTTGGGGTTCTTTAAACTAGCCCTTTCCAGCTGATTAGTGCTTCCTCGGGTGATGAGGGTATATATGGGGTGGGGGGTTTGGACTTGTCACTTTTGAGAGTCCAAAGGTCAAGGCTTCCATGATAGTCTGGGCAGGGCTCTCCTGGGCCTCCTCTTAATAGTAACAACGATGATAACTCACTTCTTGGTGCCTACCACGTGCTAGAAACTTTACATACATTATTTCTATCTCTTCACAACACTATGAGGTAGGTACAATTAGGAGTCTAAGTTTTTTTTTTTTAAATAGCTTTATTGAGATATAATTCCCATACCATACAATTTACCTATATAACTGGTATGATTCAACGGTTTTTAGCGTATTCACAGTTATGCAACCATCAGTTTTAGAACACTTTCATTACCCTCCCCAATATCCCCGTACACATCAACAGTGTCACTTCCTTTCTCCCCTCCCCACAACCCCAGGCAATCACTAATCTACTTTGTCTCTATAGATTTGCTGATTCTGAACATTTTGTATAAATAGAACCACACAATATGTGACCTTTTGTGACTGGCCTCTGACTTAGCAGTGTTTTCCAAGTTCATCCATGTTGGAGCATGTGTCAGCACTTCACTCCTTTCTATGGCTGAGGATCCATGCATTTTAATGTTTAGGTTGCAGAGGGGAAAACAGAGTCTTAGGGAGGGACAGTGACTCGCCCAGGTCGCAATACTTGGCAGGGCCTGACTTCCAGCCTGCAAACTGTAATGTACTTTGGACCCATCTGTTCTCCATGATATGACACTGTTCTCTATGATATGACACTTGGGGGCTTCAGCATGGACACGCCTGAGGCCAAAGGGCTCTGGGGAGGGTGTGAGGGGTGGGGCGGGAAGGGTTCCTCGCAGCAGCCGCTGAGGCCCCCTTGGTAGACACGGAGGGTAAGGGGTGGGCGAATCTGAACCTGGGATCCAGGTGACTGAGTAGAGAGGAGGGAGGGGCAGGGGGCAGGGGAGGAGAGAAGAAGAGAGGTGGGAAGGGAAGGGAGGTGACTGGGTGGGGCAGGGGAGCAGAGGCCACTGCTAGACTTGGGCACAGAGCCATGGCCATGGTCACAAGTCCAGACACTCAAGTGCAAAGGTCCTCCTTGGAGCAGTCCCTGCCCCAGTGTCAGCAGAACAGGCAGTTGGGTTAGTCCTGTGAAGGGAAGGGGCTGCTAGGGCTGCTGAGGTGGGGAGCGTTCTGGAAGTAGGTTCTTGGCTCCAGCTGAAAATGGCAGTCTGGAGGTGGTGGGTGAATTGCAGCCGGGAGGTGGGGAGGGGTAAATAGTCGGAACCCAAACAAAGGGGCGGTGGGCCCTGGAGAGACCCAGAGGGAGGGCAGCTTAGCTCACGTGGGCCTGGGAGCTCTTCGAGGGCAGGGCCAGGTCTGTCTGCTTTGGCTCCGTGTCCCCAGAATCCAGTCTGTGCTAGAAGTTCCAAAGCTGGCTGCCATGGGCTGCGATCAGCCAACCTCTGGGTGATGAGAAGCACCCATTTTCAGGGCTCTGTGGAGGGAGTGCTGAAAGGGAAGTAGGGAGACGCTGGCTAGTTCTGTTGGTGGTGGTGGAACAAACATGTACCTCATGCCCTTAGCCGGTGCTGCATGCTTGGCAGGGCGTTTCTCGTCTGAGCTGTTACTGCAAAATAGATCCAACTTCTGGGGAGAAGCCACTGGTAAATAACACACTCTGTAAGTGTAGGGGGAGGTTTTCAGACCCTCAGGGTGCCTCTGTGTTATCAGAGGCCGCGGCCGCAGCCTGGGTAGGAGTCATGCATGTCCTTATCCTAACTCGACCCCATCAAGTTATTTACAGGAGCTGGAGCAGGATTGGGAAGGAAAATTCTTCACCTGAGGCGTAACCCCTCAGGCCTGGGCCCCTAGCTTCTCTGTGGCCTCAAGGGAGGCGGAGACCTGGGCCTTGAAAGCTCCTGGCAGACAGGCGGCTGGTGAGCTGAGAGGGAGACACTGGGGAGGAGGTGAGCTGGCAGGCCGAAGGTTAGGGGGCCGAGACAAACAGATGAAGGGGACATGCTGGTCTGAGTGCACTTGACCGATGAGGGGGGCACCCTGCATCACCCTGTACCCTCTGGGGCATGTCCTGCCTCACAGTTAGTGGTGAGCCTGCCTATCTACTGACTTGCTCTGGGTCAGTGGGGGAGGGGTGGGTGGGGCTGACATTTCCTATGCTTCCATTAAGTGCCAATTGCTGGCAAAGCACTTTCACAAACGTCATCTCATTTAATCTTCTCAACAATCCAGTGAAGCTGGGCTTGTTATCTCGCTTTACAGATGAGGCAACAGAGGCTCAAGACAGATAGAGGCTTGCGCAGTCAAGCCGGAGGGGACCTATCGGGAAGTGGCAGAGCCGGACCCGTCTCTGCTCTCTTCCCAGCTGGACCGTGGCCTGCATGCCCTGCTGGTTCCTCCCTGGTCTCACCCCCAGACTTAGCTCTTCAAGGAAGCCTTCTCTGACTGCTCCAGCCCACATGGTTTCCTCCATGAACTCCCTGGATTCAAAGCACTTAACTGGCTGTATCCTGGGCACAGAAGCCTTGTGACATGTCTGGAGGTGTCTTGTGTGATCTGCTTCCTAAGTACATGAACAGAGGCAAGTCACTTAACTTCGTTGAGCTTCAGTTTAACTATAAGACGGGAATCATAAGATGTGGGTTATAGAGTTGTTCTGAGGACTGAGATGACCTATGCTTGGGGGTGGAAAGCAGGGCCCTCCAGGTAGTTCCCTCCCAGCCACTCTGCACATTTCTGCCCCCTTCTAATGCTCCCCACAGGCCCTTTCTATGGTAGCTGCTCGAATGTTTGGAGTCTGACAGTCTAAGCCAGTCTAAGCTATGTACTCATCCCAGAGAGATGGGGCATTCTGAGCGGGCCTGTGCCATGAGCCCCATTACTGTGCTGATAGATCTGAGGTACCAGCAAAGGAAATACTAGGTGTCACCCTAATCTGCATCAACCTAATCTTTGGAGGGGTCAGAAGTCTCATGGTGACCCTGGACCCCCCGTTCCAGATGAGCTTCTCCAAGGGATTGTATGGTTGCAAAGCTTTCTCTCTGGCTGTCAGAGCACAAGCGAATTTCTGACACTGCAGTCCAGTGGCCAACCCGGGAAACACTTGTGCACAGAATACAAATACCAATATGATTTTATTCAAACACAGGCAGGAACAATGACCTTCAGAGCTGGGTAAAAACAATAAGTTAAAAGCATGGTTAGAGTTTCAGACAATCAGATAAAAAGTTTGAAGGAGATAATTTCCCCCTCCTCTCCTACTGATTATTTCAACACAGCATAAAAATAATTTTATCTATAAAATACCCTTATTCCCAAGCAAATGAACTGGAGGTCGGCCCCAGGATTTCCCTGGCTATGCACGAGGCACAACATCTCCACCCACCCTCCCCAACCCCTTTAAGGCAAAAGGGCCTATCATATTCAGGCAGAGGGTAGGCTCCTGTCAGCAGGAGGCTCTGGTCAAGGACACTGGGAGGAGTTTCCCAGCCGAAAGATGCCCGCTTGGGTCCCTTGGTCAAAAGACGGGTGGGCCACTTGGGCACTGGAATCCACCATTTCTAGCCTTTGCCTTACCATCCGAGGAGGAAGCTGAAGTCCTGGCAGGTGGACACTGGGCTGGTCTGTGACGCTCCTCTAGTCTGGGCTGACTGGTGTCCAGGGACAAGGCTGGTGGTGGTTTCAGGGCTTTCACAGCCCTGAGGGAGGCCAGACAAGGCTGAGGGTGAGTGGGTGGGTGGTCCTTCCCTCAGTATCTTGGGCTGCATTAGTCTTTCTGGGAGTATCGGGAAGAAAATATTCGTGCAATCCTGCGAGTTTCTTCCTCAGACAGGCTGGGAGGCAGCGAGTTAGGTCTGGGACGACAAGGCCTTTGGGACAGGGCTCCCCCGGTGGTCTCGCTCTTGCCCTGGAGAGGAGGAGGTCAGCTAGGTTAGCACTGCACACATGGCACTGCCTAAAGATGACTTTGACTCTTCTCGTCTTTTGGTCCTTTGGCTAATACTGGTATAGAGCTGACTGATTTGCAAAGCACTTTACATACCTGAGTGTGTTTAACCCTCGCCTCGACCCCATAGGTTGGTTCCCATGTCATGGATGAGGCAACTAAAGTTCAGGTGAAATAAACTCAAGGTCCCACAGCTCGGAGTAGCAGACCTAAGATGTAAACCCCTGTTCAGACTCCTTCTATGCCTCTGGAGAAGGAGGGGCAGTCTCCTCCAGGACATTCCTTCTCTTGCTGCATGTGTCTAGACAAGTCATTTGTCCTCGAAGCGTGACTGTCCCATGTGTGACCCTGCCAGGGAGAAGATGCTGGTGAAAAATACACTATCTGTGTGGCCCTGGGGAGTTCCTGGAGCTGCCAGGTGTCATGAAGCACATACCCACAGCCCTGCTACCAAACATCTCCCGGTCTTGGGCTGACTGGGTATCACGAATTTCCCCTTGAAGGTGTGTGCATTTGGGTTATGATGTCGTGGTCCTTGGACTCCTCTATGTCTCACCCATTTGCTCCTCTAACCCTTTTGTTTGCTTGTTTCTGTGCTTACTCTGTGCCAGGTTCCTGCCCTGAAGGAGCTCAAAGGATACAGGAAAGCCACCCCAGGCAGGTGGCTGACAGCAAGGCCCCAGGGAAGAGGTGGAGGCCTGGTAGAGGAAGAGGCAGTGCTGAAAGGACATGGGAGTTGCCCCGACAGGCAAACGTGGCTGACTCCACAGCGTGCAGCCTGTCCCCAAATACTGAAAGCACACGCACCACTCCCTATGCCCCAGGAATCAGCTTGGTGGAGACCCTAGGGATTAAGACTACTTCCCTGCCCCTTAGTAATTCTGCTAATGGGAAACTGAGGCCCATTGCTTGTGGGAGTAGAGTTGCTTGTGGGATCAGCAATATTCAGTAATTCCTTCTTTCCTTCACTTCTTTAACCTTCTTACTGCCTACTGTGAGAGGGAGATAGAGATGAACAGTTCTCAATCTCCATAGCTCAGAGTTAAACTGGGGAGACAGAGCTATTCAAAGAATTAGAATAGTAGCCGGGAAGTGATAGGGGGAATGGAAGTCAGGCAACCTTGAGGGTCCCTGCCAATCTGGAATTCTAAATGCCAAGGGAGTGCATACAACCTGACAAGCTCTCAGCGCTGACAGCCCACAGGCAGGTTCTCTTTGCTGGAGAACCAAGAGCAAAGCGGAGCTAGGGGCTGGACATGCCCAGCGGAGGTGAGTACATACAGCTCCCCCATCTTCCAGGCAGGCCTAGGCTAAAAGGGGAGAAAGGAAACCCACCCCGTGCTGGTGTTTTTGTTCTTCCTTTCAAAACATGGGAGGCACCTGCACCCCATAATGCCTCAGGCTGGGGAGGCCAGCCACCCAGCCACTGCCTGAGGCCCTCTCCCTCCAGACTGGATGCTCCTGCAGGGCATGGCCTGTCTCTGATGCTTGTGACTCCCACTGAGACAGGTCCAAGATGGGAGCTTGGTAGCTGATAGACCAGTGAATGGGTCAAGCCACGGTGACCAGAGGCTTAAATTAATTGGGGAGGAGACTGCCTCTTGCAGCAAATATCTCATTCAGTCATTCTTTCATTCATTCCAGAACCAGTGATTGCTCAAGCTAGAGGGGAGACAAATGCTGACCTACCCAGCAATCCCAAAGAGGAAGCTTAGAGCCCGGGAGCACAGAGAAAGAGCAATTCATTCAGAAAGGGCGGCTTCATGCAGAGGTGGGATCTGAGACGCGCAGGGTTTCAGCAGAGCTGTGTGTGGGGTGAGGTCACCCACTGCAGGGGCAGCATGAGCACAGGCCTGCACCTGCTAGCTGCGCTGACATCTGTGAACCAGCCACAGCCAACCTCGCAGTACCCACACCTGGGCCCAGCCACCTAGGGGGCCTTACCTGCATGGCCCGGGGACAGGACGGGGTTTGGCTCTGTGTACTGGGCAGGGCAGAGCTGTGGAAGGCCAGCAGCATGTGGCTTTTGTTGACTTCAAAAGGGTCTAAAAAACATCTTGACTAGTAGTAAAGTCTCTTTCTTCGTCAGGGTTGCTATCCTGAGACATACAGCCTTGGTGGGGCTGGGCAGAGGTGTAGCTGCCCACGCAGGGACACCCCTCCATGTACCCACCACTCCTCTGAAAATACTCCCATGCTCCTGCTGGAGCTCTGGGGGCACCAGCAAACTGTCACCATAGCTTATGGTTTGAGGAGCCTCAGCCTCCCTGGGGAGGCAGGAGGAGCCCACGTGGAAGCACGACCATCAGACTGAGGGGCTGCAGGGGCCTTGGAGTCTGGACAGTGGGTGTCATACGTGGGGTGAAGTCCCTGGAAGGGTACTTTCAAGAAGACGGACTTGAAACATGAAGGTGGAATCTGAACAAAGAGTATGAGGATATTCCAGGTAGAGTCTTAGATTGAGCAAAGGTGCGGAGAAGGAATTTATTTGCTGGGAAAGCCAGGGGTATGGGACTGGTTGACTGCAGGTATGGAGAGCGGAAGACAAACCCAGCAAGGGAGGGGCTCAAGTTCCTGAATGTCTGGGGAGGAACTGACCATATTCCTCTTGGACTTTCCGATGATCGGGGGGCGTGGGGCTGACCCCTGTCCTGGGGTGAAGGACAGAACAGGCTTTACTGTGGTCTGGGTGTTAAGCCTGGCAGTATACGAGGGGCTCTGATTGTCCCTTTAAATCCATCCAGCTCTCCTATTAACTTCTCCCACTTCCAAATATGGGGACCTGCTCTTTTCTGGGCACCTGGACACCCAGGCTTCTCGGCCTATTGTTTGAGACAGACGTCTCAAAGGAGCCTTCAATGTCAAAGGCAGAACTCCAGCAGGGAGAAAATAAAGCATCAGGGGAGGAGTAAGGAGCAGTGGTGGCAGGAAAATATAGGGCTTCCAGGGGTTCCTCACACCAAGAGGCTAACCCTGGTGGGGGAGTGGCTCTAGTCCTGGCTCTACCACTTCTTAGCCAAGTGGCTTTGGGCAAGTCACTTCCTCTCTGGGGCTTGGTTTCCTCATCTGAAAACAGATCAGGATGAGCAGGTAATACAGAAGGAGGCACCCTGTAACCCAGGGACTTACCCCGGCCCATGGCTCCCTCTTTGGCCAGCTCCCTGTGATAGCATCTTCTCCAAACACTCTCTCAGGAGGCTCCAGCCCTCTTCTTTGGCCTCGAAATGTGAGCTGATTCAAGCCACTGTGTTCTGGGTTCCCTCCATCTAGTCCCCAGATGGATATCCCTACATAGACCACATGTTTCCAGGAGGGTGGTAGGTGCAGGCACCCCCATTTACCCCTGCTTCTGGGTGTCCCTGGGACTTTCTCAGAGGGGAGGCAGTGGGGTGGAGTGGAAGGAACACTGGTCTGTGGTCCAGCCCAACTGCCCCACTTGCTTGAGGCCAAGACACTTTGTCTCTCTGGGTCTCAGTATCTTCATTACCAAGTGGAGCTGAGAACTTGTTTGCCTCTTTGCCCCAGGTCTACCGTGAAGCTGAAATACAATTCAGATGTGACCAAGGCTCTGGCCAGATACAAAAGCACAGGGGCTAAATAAGCTGGAGACACCAGCTGCGGAGAGCAAAATGAAGCCCTGCTGTTCCGAGACCTCACTTCAGCTGGAGCAGAAGTGGGGTACAGCACCCCCAGAGGGATGCCCAGGGCTAGGCCAGGACTGGCCATACTCTCCCCCTACCATTGCCCCCCACCCGTTGAGCCCCTGGGCCTGGCATCAGGTCTGAAGTTTTGTTTTCTTCCCCAGAGCAGATCCCTTACAATGACATAAACACTGCCTCAGGGGCTGGAAGCAAAACTTTCCAAAGAGCTGAAAACAGAAAGTAAACAGCCAGCTGGTTCTGGCTGGCTAGGATAGGGCTGCCAACAGATGGCTGCTTCAGAGATGAGTGAGGCTCCCTAGAGCCGCCTGCCTTGTTCAACTTTCACCTACTTGGCTGGCTGGCTGCCTTCCCCTCCCAGAGTCCTCTCCAAAGGCTGGGACTAGGACTTCCCTGTGCTAAAGAGAGTAGCAAACTCAGCAGCTGCAACTAAGAGCAGGGGGGAAGCGAGGACAAGACTCGCAGACCAGGTGCCCAGCCTTGAGAGGCCAATCCTAAATCTGACCACCTAGCCCAGCTGCAGTGCGGCTGGGCTCCACGCTCTGAGCTCACCCTCCATTCCTGCCTCAGAGTTCTGGTCATGTGGTTCTCACTACCTACATGCTGCCTCTGTTCCTCCCCACCCCCCGATGCCTCCTTTGCCTTCCTCCGAGAAGGCTTCCCTGACAACCGGCCTATTCCGCAGGGCCTGTGTCACCCCTCAGCCCGGGCCTCAGTCTCCCAGCCTGCTCCGTGAAGACGCCAGACTAGATCAAGACTCTTCAACCTTCTGAACCCACTCCCTGCCAGTCAGAGGGAAGGGTTAAAGAGACACTCTTGGAACTCCTGGCTCCTCCCAGACTCTGGCCTCAGCGCTCAGGCAACTTGAGCCTAGCACCTGCCCAGCAGACCCGCAGGCCCTTTCCGTCACGGTGCTGGCCAAACTGCATCTGGGCCAAGGTGGGCACCAGCCAATTCTGGCTGCTTCCCCTGACTTCTGTACACCCTTGGCCAGAGAGCTCATCTCCTCCTCAAAGCTTTGTGTGGCCTGAATCAGAAGCTCTTTGACCTTTGGGACTCCTCCTGGGTCTCTGCAGAGGGCTAGGGACTTGGTAGCTAAAAGAGGTGAGGTAGCAGGTCAGGGCTTCTTGCCCCACGATGGGCAGCTCAGCCATCAGGCCTGGACCACAGGGTGAGAAGAGGACACCAGGCTCAGGAACTTCTCTTGGACTCCAACCATCTGGTCTGGTGATTTTATGGAGGACTGGGCTCCTCTACCAAGACTGTGTTTCTCTTAGATGGCTCTGGGCTTGGGGAAGGGAA